TATATATATAAAAGAAATTAAAATGATTACTATCAAAACTTCTTGATTAAATCAGTTACATTGACATGTACAAAAGAAAAGAAAAAATAAAGCAAACTAAAATGTCAAATTCTGCTCACCATACACTGAATTACTTTAAAAATGGATGAATAAATATGTGGGCCTTCCTTAATACATCCTCCAAAAATCCAATAAAATTTTGCTTCAGGCAAAATAAAATAGGAAAAGCAAAAGACCTTCATATCTGATGAAAAAAAAWGAAAAAAACAGAAAGACTGAAGTTTGACTTTTTAAATCGCCAATTCCATTAAAACCTTTAGCTGTAAGAGAMCAGCAGACCTTTCTCAGTCTCATAAGGCGACTTTTTTTATTTATTAATGTACACACAGTAAATATATATATATTTTTTATAAATGATTTCTAATGTTTTCTGTTTTTGCAATGTGCCTTTTTGTTTGTTATGAATGTGCACTTTGACATGCGCCGAGACGCGAGGCAAACGTCCCCAAAGGAAGCGAATGAATTCTCAACGTTGAACTCAATTATGACAGTGGTGGAAAGCGAATGGCACCGTAATTGCATCGCATTACACCTGTTCTTTAGCAGTAGCCTAAAGCTTTTGCAGCCTTGCATTTTTAATCCTTTCAACTCGCACAAGGGAAATCTGACATGGGAAAGCAAATGAGCGAACCCCGACCCCCACCCCACCCCACCCCACCCCACTCCCATCATCAGCTGAAGTCAAGCTGCCTAAAAGCGAGGCCCTTAACCCCCAGCATCTCTTCGGTTGCAGTCAAGTGAAAAACAATTTGCATTTGATAATTTTTTATGCAAATACCACCTGTCATTTCTGTATAAATCTATCAAAAATTACTGCAGGCACTTCTTTGTAATTTAAAGTAAGTGTTAATAAATGTTAGCTTCAGGTGAGTGAATAAAAYCATGTACGGTTCAAAGTAGTGTGGCAGGAATGGACTCTCCTGTATGTAACCTTATAGTTCTGAGCCGCCTGAATGCATCGCAGTGGCCTGCATGGAATGTAGATAGCCGTCTACGTGTGTGTCCGTGCCGTATGCACATTTTGTGGGTGTGTGCGTGCCAATGAGTGCCTGGGTGACGGTGTGTAATGTCTGCATTCCTACTTTTTTTTTTTTCCTATCTGACCGTCGACATGTGTGTCGCTGGCATTTCTGGACAGAGGAACTCTATACTCCTCCACAGAGTTCTTTCAACGCCCACTACTTTTCTCACACACACACACACACACACACACACACACACACACACACACACACACACACACACACACACACACACACACACACACAAACATACATACATCACACATCCTTCTGCTGACGTGCACATGTCACCACAGCAACCAGAAACAGCCAAAGACCTGGTATTGACAGAAGAGCAGAGACCACCATACTGGAAGGCCAGAGGTCGTAGATGTGGTGGTTACTGGGAGCATGAAATCATAGTTTCTTTTTTAATTGATAATCTTATTTATGAAATTAAAGGCAGAATGTAAATAAAGTATTTTAGGAATCCGAAAACACAAAGCGTCTGCTATTTTCTTATTATCTTCAGTCTTTCTTTTCCTCACATGTGCCAAACAGATTYGCAGTATGTCTGTGCTTCTTCACACACGTGGCTCATGCTGTTGACTTGAACGTGAGTGATTGCCGCCAAAACCATACTCTTCAAAGTGGTGCGTGGAAAGGTTCATGTTATAAGACAAATTTATAAAATCACACTGCACCTCCGCTGATTTGCTCAGCCAAAAAAAAAAAAAAAAAAGAAAAAAAAAGACGAGGGAGAAGGAACTGTGCTTGTTTACAACTTAAAAATAATATGTTTCAGGGACAGAAATTCTTGAGGAAAAGTAAACAGCAGTGAAAGAAAAGAGAGAAGAAGTATCCCCGCATCGTCTAAAACAAAGTTAAAGACAAGAACTGAACTTACCATAAAGTGGGGGATGAAATGTAAACGCCGTCCTCCTCTTCACCCTGTCAAATACAACATAGGTTTTAATGCACTCATAAAAATGCACTGGAATAAATCAAAATTTAATCATATGTTATAGGTAATAGTTTAGCATTTTTTAATGTACTTATAGGTGTGAAGAAACATCTCTCTGATATTTAC